AAGCCAATGACACCAGTGCATTTTGCCTAAAGGAAACATTGTTCTTTCTGGACAACTTTTCCTCCATTTTCCTCTAAGGCAGCACTGGGAAAGCTCAGGACTCTGTCTCTAAAATATTCATGTGATGGCTATTCATTATTCACGTAGTTTCACAAGGCTTGATGCAGCAGTATTACCAGCCTGGTCCTGATGAACAGATATGTTGGAAGCACTCCCCAGAAAGAACCTGCAAACAATTTCACTCTGTGCAAAATTCCTCCTGCTTGAATCCCACTCTTTGTGGCTGTGGATGGAAGTGTGTCATGAGCATGGGAAGAGATGGGCTTGAAGATAGTGGCTTTGGGCTTTTCTGGGCAAGGGTTTGGGGTGCCAGGGACAGGGGAGTCACTCCTGGGCCTCACAGAGCTCCCTGGCTCTTTTGGGGAAGGGCTTTTGCCTGGGAGCAACCAAGACTGTGGGTGAGCTCCAAAACTGGGGTGCGGGCAGGAGTCTGAGCCCTGGCCCTGCTGGGCCCCCAGGTGAGTTCTTTAGATTCCGCTTTTCTACCAAGTGTATGAAGATAAAATCTCCTTCCTGCCCGGCAGGGTGGAGGGGAAGGTTCATTAAAGAAGGCTGCACGTATCTTTGCAAGCCCAAAGYGAAGCACCAGGCGCGAAGCTGTCAGGGGACTTCTCCAGCTCCCGCTGCCCGGCAGCTGGCACGGACGGGCATTGCGTTGGGACGCGGGACACCGGTCGGGGTGGCAGGAGATGCCACCTCGATGCCGCCCGTGCAGCCCCGGCTGCTGAGCCGGCCTGCACGTGTCCGGGTGGYGTGGCGGGACGGGGGCACCCGGCGCGGCTGCCGCTCGCCCCACCAAGGGTGCCGAGGGGCCGCGGGTGCAGGAAGGCTCCGCGCCCGCAGTCCCACCACCCTTCCGACGGCGGCCGCGGTGCAGGAAGGCGGCGGCCGCGGCGCAGGAAGGGGTGCGCCTGCCCCCGGAGGCTGCACAACCGCCTCGGCACGGGAGCCGCGGCAGCCGCCCGAGCCCGCCGCGTGCCCGGGCGCCCGTGCCATGGCTCCGGCCGCGGGCCCTGCTGCTGGCACTGCTGTGGAACGAGCCAGCAGCCACTGCACGAGCTCCACGATACTGGGGCCCGAGGGACCCTGCCGCAGAGCTCCTCGCAGCCGCAGCGCTGCCCATCCTGCTCTGTACCCCACTTTCTTGCAGCCCCTCGCTGCSCACAGGGCTGCTGGTCCCTCCCGATGCAGTGGGGCAGAGCAGCAAGCAGCACCTGGTCCTTCACCTCACACAGGCCACGGCTTCTCTCCAGGCTGGGCTTGCAAGCCTTTGGGCAACAGGTCCCGCGTAGGACAGAAAATCACATCCTCTCCAAGCACTGAGGAGYGGGGCTGGAGGGGACAGCGCCCCAGAGTCCCCCGCAGCCGGCGAGGCTAGGGCACACGGAGGCACCTGGATATCCATTGGAAAGGACCCTTTTCAAGGAGGAACATCAGGAGATGTCCTGGGCCATCTCCTTGTCTGGCTGGCTCCTTTCATGCACTCCACATAGGGCAGAGATGTGCAGCCCATGTGCAGTGCCCACAGCAGGGCCTCGGAGACGCTCAGCGCACCTCTGCCCACRAGCTGCCCACGGGGCGCTTGCTCCCAGCCAGACCTTCCGTGCTCTAGGAAACCCTCACATTAAAATGGTGCCTCTGTCCGAGCGCRGAACAGAAAGGAAATTTCATCCTTTATCACAGTATGGACGCTCAAAAAAAAAAAATGGCTTTGGAAACACAGAAATAACTGCTTGAAATGTTTCGCTCTGACAGTGACACTTCAGCTGCTGCAGAGAGATGGGATTTATTGCCATCCAAAAAAAGAAAGGCTCAATGCTTTTGTTCACTGATGAAATCCATACGCTCCCATTAATTCTGGTGGTACTGCCATATCAGTGCTTCACATCTGCACGCTGCTCAGGCAGAAAAACTGCCTTTGCCCTGTGTTCATTCCCATCCACRAGGGCCGGGATCAGCTCTGTTCCCAGTGGTGGGGGACAAAAGCACATGGTCAGGCTAAGGGCCTGACCATGACAGAGATTATATTTAGGGTTAGGAGACAGGAAAAGCCATGAGCCCCAAGGAGAGCAGCATTGCAAAGACCATGACAAGCGAGACGCGCTGCTCCAGCAATATTCCTCCCAGGATGACTTTTCTCTTTCTTCACTAGTGCTCCTGGAACCTTGAATGAGGACCACTCTGCCGGGGTCCCTGCAGGCCCTCGTGGGGTGCTACCCATGGGCTGCAGCCCTGGCCTATGACACGGGACAGGGGATGAAGGGGCAGGAGAGTGGATGGGGGCAGAAAGGGGCAGCCGCACAGCTCCCCAGCCCAGCTCAGGACTATCAGTGCTCAGCATTTTGTTAGGGGCCCACTGCCACAGGCCACCGCTTTGCGAAGTGCTCTTCTCTCACAGAAGTGCTGCCTCCAGAAATCACAGAATCATGGAATCCTTAAGGTTGGAAGGGACCTCTGGAGATCATCTAGTCCAGCCCCCCTGCACACACAGCATCACCTAGAGCACAGGATTGTGTCCAAGTGGGTTTTGAAGATCTCCAGATGTTTCAAGCCCGTTAATGAAGCAAGGAAGGCTGTGAGGGTTGGGCACACCAACAGGTGAGTGAGGCCGGCGAGGAACTGAACTGAGAGTTTCCAACCTCAAGCAGTGCTGCAACTGCAAGTCACCTCTCCAACCACCGCTCTTTGACTAGTCAGCCCTGGCAGCCTTGTGCCTCTGCCCTAGCCTCACACGGAGCCCAAAGCAGATCCTCTGAGAAACTTGAGATGGCAGCACAGAAACAGGAGGTGCTGCAGAGTCCTGCCAGCTGGGGAGCGGGCTGAGAGGGAGACAAGGCGGTTGGAGCCCCCCATCCCAGTTTCCCCCCTTACCTTCCACTTGGTTTTGCCAAGCAGTGTGACCAGCAGCATGTTCACACCTCCCTATAGGCAACCGTCTGCGAGGGAAGATCCAAGTGTCCCTTCATCAACGCAGATTCCTTCCGATCGGGGTGCAGAGCTGCCTGTCCAGCTCCACTCGGCAAACAGCTCCATGCCAGTAACTACTGGTGGCGTMTGTGTGACGATACCAACCCCCTGCCTGCTGCTGGCCCTTTGGAAGCGGAGCTGCATGGAAGCGCAGCGGGGCAGGCCTTGCAGGAGATGCCCCCACTCCTGCTCATTTCACCCCACGCAAACAAAGGTGCCTGCAGAGGTGCCGAGCTGCGAGACGCCGACCCGGCTGCTGCACCCACAGCCAGCAGCTCTTCAGCAAGGCAGGGCCCTCTCCCACGGAGAGCACCGCTGTGCCCACGCGTCTCGGAGGAGCTGCTGGCATCACTCTCCTGGCTAGCAGCTCACAGGCTCCCTTCAGGAGAATGCAGGCGGCTGAGCAAGGGCTGTGGGTGCCACCTGGGAGCTGATCAGCCTCCTCCCCGGCTCATTCAGCAAAGCGCCCCCAGGGAGAAAGCAGCTCTGTGCCGGCCACGGCCAGAGTGTCACACTGTCCTTGAGGATGTCACTTGTCACCCTAAGACACTGGACCTCTGCGCGCAGAAGAGTCTTCAGTTTTCACCTTGCAGACTTTACACTGAAAAGGAAAAGCAGTTCCGGAGACAGTGAATTAGCAGTACAGAGCAATCCCTTTAACTCCCCACTATGCAGCAGGATTATCCTGCAGACTTGCRGGATAATCCTGTGGTTTGTCACACCTGGGGGCTGTGGATGGCAGATTGGCACATCTCCCCTGTGCCCACTGCACCAACAGGGATGGGGGAAGGTCTGGAAGGGGATGAAATGTCTGTCATCACGTGGTCCCACTYGGCCAGGCGGACACATGGAGCGGCATCGTGAGCAGGGAGAGACCCRCTCTGGCTGCCCCGCGGCCTCGCAAGCAGCACGGGGCACAGCTCAGCACGGTGCTGAGCCCTCACACATCAGCTCCAAGGAGCACCTTGGTGCTGGGCTTTAAGCCAATGACTTGTCCTGCCAGTTTACCCAGGCCCACGCGAGCACTTGAGTGCTCTTCAGGCCAGGGCTCTCAAAGCTCTTGTGCTTCCCTTTTCCACCCTGAGACATGCAGGGTTAACGCACGGCTGTGCAAGGAGTGCAGCAGCCTCTCTGCAGCTCCGAAAGMGTTTTGCTAGAACCACCAAAGGCAGGAAGTGCAAGGTGTGACAGACACACACCCATCGTAGCTACTGAAAACGATACACACTGTCATGTGTGTCCTGCTAGAGCTGCTGCAGTTCAGCTGCAGGGGACCACATTTGAAAAGACACCCTCCACTAAGGAGCTTCTTTTGGAAATATTAGCAAATTAGACTGATGCCTCAAAGACTGACGTTGGGCACTGTGGTTACCTGCAGTTCCGAAGTAATCTGCTAGATGGCACGATGCAATAATAATAATATCAATAATAATGCTACGTGGATTGGTTTTAATTGTGCTAGACCCTGCAAACCATTCGCCAAATAGTTTGCACACGCGTGTGCGTATTGCAAATACCTAAACACCGCTGCCCTTCGGTATCGCGTGCGTTTGAATAACGCCGAGCCGCTGCTCGCTGCAGCCGGGGGATTTTCCTCGCTCTGCCAGCGGCTGCGGTTCCCGGCGGAGGCGCCGCGGCCGCCGCGCGGAGCCGCTCGCG